CATCGACAAACAGTAGCTGTCTGAGATAGCTTCTGTTTGCCGATGAGATCATCATTGCCCCTCTTGCCGCTCGCCTCTCTCTGCATTTACCCCTTTTGCCGCTCGTCCCTCTCTGCATTTGCCCCTCTTGCCGCTCGTCCCTCTTTGCGCATAAGGTAACCTTCTCTCGAGATCTTGTAAGGAACGACGTTTCTTAATTTTTGCATTACCATCATCACTTTTTGACCGCTTGTATTTCCGGAACGGCTGGACCAATTTAAATTCTTTTTAGCTCAAATTAGTCGTGGCGATGCCGCCTTTAAGGATATACTATGTGTTTTTATAAAATTTTTTATATTTTAGTTGCTACAAATCCCCGAAAAGTCGACTTTCTGCGCGCAGGATAAGAGACTTAGTAATGTCATTTTCTGAACTTTGCCAGAGACTCTTTTCCTGACTTAGTAGTGTCGTTTTTTGAACTTGGCCGGAGACACTACCGCGTCTCCTGATGTTACTGTTACTAGTGTTTGCTTGGATTTTACATAAAATCCCATTGAAGAACATACGTTTTATTTTTTTTACAGATGTAAACCACTATTATCTTTGAATATCTCTAAATTTATTACACATTACAACTGGAAAGATGGAATATTTAAAGAACGTAAAGTATGTGAATTACCTTTAACGTTTATTTGTAACAGTGGTCTACAAATGACTAAAAATGCGGTTGTGTTTCACGGTAGTAACAGTCTTATGGCTTATAACCGCACAATGAACGGTACTTTAAAAAAGGAAGTTATCGAAATTTGCAACTCTAACATTGCAGACATTACTTATTGCAATGACGTAATTATAAGTAGCCATCGGTGAGTATTTATTTATACACTTTGTTATGTTTATTTCTTTTTTTTATTTTTAACAAAAATTCTTGCAGAGATGGTAGTCTCAGATTCTGGAGAATTCAATCACAGGGAAAAAATACAAATTATTTTGCACAATTAAAAATATGTAGCAATGTACATGATGAAAACATTTATCGATTAGATGCAACATCGCAACATATTTTATTAAGTTGTCAAAGTGATGACATTGCAACTACAAAAGTTTCAGTGAAGGTAAGATTTAAAAAATTTGCAATAATGCTATGTTGTAGTATGTAATAAATCTGTTCTTATTTAGTTACAGAAAAATACATATGAAAAAGATGGTTGTGTGGAAAGAAATGAATTATTTTATAGGAACAAATCTTTTGTGACTTCAATTTTATTTGACCCTATAGGAACAAAATTTGCTGCTAATATCAATCAAGAATCACCGATTCATTCTTCAGTTCTAATTTATGATATTGATAAAAGGTAAGGTATCTATAAGGTATATATTTGAATTAATTAATCGTTTTCTATAGATGTTCGATTAAACATTGACTATATTTGTACCACTGAGCTATATAACATACTGGAAATGGTCTTAAAGGAGTGGGGCTGGTTCTACTGGCTAAAAGAGAGAGATATATTGTCGGGGGGTGTTTGTATTCTTCGCAACATTTTTGATTGGCTAGCGATGATTATCTGTATTGTAAAGCTCGAACTAAAAACATTCTCCGAAAAATTTTATCTCTTTGAAGACAATTTTTAACCATAAATAAGAGATCTGTAAAAATTTATATGAATAATATTATAATATTATTGCCTTCATCAACCTTTTTACGAATAAAATCACGAACAACTATTAACTGTTATAGAAGCAAACGTTTTTAATAACGGTAATAAACGTAAAACGAAGACAGACATCCCCCGGTCACTATTGGAGTTATCCACTTTTAGCCATTTTGAAGTTAAACATTAGCAGAATGTGTTTACTAGACCAATTATCACTTCCTGATAAAGAATATGTTTTTATCTTGACGTCTTCATAATCACCGTGATCTTGCTTCCATTGACTGGATCATTCTCGGATCTTGCCTTTGTTGGCCGGATCACCTGTCAATCTTGCCTTTATTAGCCGAATTACCTGCCGATCGTGTCTTTATTGGCTGGATCGATTATTGATCTTACCTTCGTTAGCTGGACATCCATAAAAACCTCGATAACTTCAAATCGCCTGACCCAAAAGTGGATAAAATTATATTGTTTTGAAAAGTTGACTATAGGAGGACTATAAACATATGTAATCAAAAATAGGGAATTCCATTTAAAAAATTCAAAGTGACCTTGCTCTGATCTTGGCGACGTTATCCAAGGTCAAACTGATAAGATCAGTAAATAAATTTTTTTAAACCTTACAACTTTGATCTGAAACAGTTTTTTATAACACTTATATTTTTCTAGATATTCTGGAGTTCTTATCTTTTTTATATACTCTGTATAGTTCAATGAGCGGGATGGTCCACTGTGGAAAAGAAAGGGCTATATTAGACGGGGATGTCTGTTTTATGTTTGCCTTTGTTTTCAATATCCTACCATAACAAAATGGATAGACGTCTTCGTCTACTATTGCTATTCTTTGGTCACAAACACATTGATTCTTATAAGAACGGCTCATTCTAGTATATGCGCGCATATGCGCTTTACGGAACGCAGCCTATATATATGGTTCAGTGATGCAACTTGTTGCAACAATACGCATGCAATCTGGTAAATTACTAGAAACGCTGTGTGCTGTTTGATGCATTTTTAGAGTTGTGTGAAATTAGCCTACCAAAATTAACTTTTCTAACTTTCAACAATTGTTGCTAAATGTTGGTCGTTTGTTGATTACTGTTGGTCTAATTTTGATGTTTGTTGGTTGCTAATTTGTTGTTAACAAATAAATTTCAATGTAAAGTTAGCCTACCTAATAGGAATTTTTTATTTTTTTTCAATTCTTATGCGTCAAATCGATTGTTGCTCTCAACTGTGCCTTTTAGAATGATTGTTGGATTATTTATCAATTATAACAAAATAATTTTAATTGCGCACATATTGCACATGCGCGACTCTCAACCGTAAAGTTAGTTACTCTGGAAATAATAGTTGCGCTATTGAAAATTATTATTTTGTTATAATTAATAAATAATCCACCAACAATTATTATAAAAGACACAATTGAGACCAAGAATCGATTTTTTATCGATTTGACGCGTAAGAATTGAAGAAAATAAAAAATTCCTATTAGGTAAGCTAACTTCACACTGATATTTATTTGGTTATTAACAATTAAATTAACAATCAATAATTAGCTACAATTGTTGAAAATTAGAAAAGTTAATTTTGGTAGTCTAACTTCACAGAGCTACAAACTAATGAAAGGCATTTTAGTTATCAGGTAATGGAGAAAAAATATGATTCTTTTATTATGGGAGGCCAAGTACTATGGGAGGATCCTCACACTGTTCTCACGTTGAATAAGGATTATATTAGAAAGATAAATTATATTAAAAAGATAGATATGAGGTAATCAGTGAACTCTATACATACTGGAATGAGCACCAAGTAGGAATTTGCCTAATGATTCCGAACCGAGAGAAAAAAAGTTTAAGGGGTGATGTTTATTTTGTCTCGCACATTTATCTAAATGGAAAAATAATAATAATCTCCATAGCAGAGGATGCCTTCACTGTTTCTCTATTAGTTTTTTGTCTCATAAACAAACTCGGCTGGCTTTAACGGCGGTGCTTATTCCAGTATGTATTCAGCAAACACAGAACATTGCAGTAACATTGCGGCAATGTTACAATATTGCAATAATATTGCTGCAATGTTGCAACATT